AGTATATCATCAGATGGAATTATATATAAATATAAATATAAGTATATATATATATATATATATATATATATACATATATTATGTATATATATATTATATATATATATATATATTATATATATATATTATATATATATATATATATATATATATATATATATATGTATGTATGTAAATATATAATATATATATATATATATATATATATATATATATATATACACACACATATATATATGTAATATATATATATATATATAGTTGTACATGATATATGATTTAGTTATGTGTGAATGTGTGAGAGACGCACGGATAACCTGGCCGCGCTTTATAACGAATCTCTCCTTACAAACATAACGTGACTTCCCATCTATTTAGCAGATCACCTTGATCCACCTGACACGCTAACACACAGCCTAGATGCAGTGATGCACGATAGAAATTATAAGTTTAGAAATGTACATATGCAATATATTTCGGTTAAACGCCATAATCCTTTTCAAGTGGAACAATGTTGAGACTTTCGCTGAAGCCTCAACGTAAGAGGATTTTCAGTCGTATTAATTAAACTTTCATCAGTATATTAGTTTTGTATGTTGAAGGCTACTGAGAAATGCAAACATAAATATCTAGAAAGATATAGGATGTCGGTGATGGGCTTGGTCGTGACGATTTTCTTTTTTTATGCTGATTTTCCTGTTTGTTATACTTGGTCTATCTCTCTTGCTGTATGTCCCTTTTCATGTCTTTCTCCTTGACTTTTCTTTCCGTTTTTTAAAATTCCCTTGTATAATGAAGTTCATGTACGTAAATTTTGCTTCATTTGGCTTTTTATTCCAATTCCCCTATAAATATTTACGAAGTTTACTAATAATTTTAATGGCATAGTACTTTTGCCCACTCACGAGTCTGTAGCTGCTATCTTAATTTTTTCATGCAATTTATCATTTATTTTCACCTTCTTTCATTTACCTATATTCTTCGTCATGTCATTATTTTTACTTCCTTCTTATGACACTGAAATGGATTTTTTCAAGACCAAGGCTCACACATACAAGAAACCCCACTTTTGGAAGTCTACATGACATTCTGGATGTAATAATCTCATCGGTTTATTGCTGTGCTTCCCCACCTTTTTTGGTTGCGATCCAAAAAAGGTGGGGAAAAGTCTTAACCTAGACTAGCGAACCTAAATATATGCAGGGGCGGGTCCAGAGAATTTTCTGGTGGGGGACACAGGGGGTAATAACAATAAACATGGGGGAAGGAGCATTCCAAAATTAACAAAAATTAGGGCTGCCCACTTCAATATTTATATTGTAGTTACACATCGTTTATGTCTTCATCTTGCTTTTCTTAGCCACATTAAATTTGTTGGGTGTACTTTTACCAAGTGGTAGGTTAACAAAGAAGGGAATTCAACCTGACTGACTCTCACACTCCTGCTGGTCACCTGCACTCTCCCTGCTAATTTTCTTCTTAGTGAAGAAGTTGGAGATATCTCCCAGCTTCCGCTTCATATTGTAGTCTACACTGAAAACGTGTCGTCCACAAACACAACGAAAAGCAACATGTTATTTGCACTGTCACATCACAGTGGCAACGTGATATGATACTCTGCTGTTGACTGTTAATTCATGTCGCAAAATGCGAAACACACGAAGGATGCTAACGATAGCCTACTGAAACAGGGGTGAGATGTTTACATTTATTTAGATGGAGAGCTAACGAAAGTTAAACATAGTGTTGTTAAAGAATAATTTCCCATGCAAATTCAACCAAATTAGGCTCGTCTGGAGCAGAAGTTATCAAAACATTGCTGTAACAGTCTTAAAGAACCAGTCGTGTTCTGTTCTTACCTTCCCTCGGTGCGCCTAAGAGCATCATCGTTGTAAAAAAAAGTCCTTGACCGGTGAGTTTACACGAGGTCATGCCACTTCCTTCTTTTTCCTAAATAAAAGCCTTCATGAGCTCTTAACAGTCTAATCAAACAAGGTTTAAGCTTTGCTTCCGTCTTAACGTGCGGCGTCGGTAAAGAACCTTAACTGGTGATTGACGAGTCAATGACTATTGGGGGGGGGGGGCACACGGGGTAACTTTGTAACTTTGAAAAAAGAACATGAAGCTTCATTTGCATATCCAACTGTGGAATCTTTGAATTATTTTTTCTAAGATCCTCTAGCCAGGGGCGTCATTTGGGGGGTGCCCCCCAAGACTGATTTCTAAAGGTCTACCTTCCCCTTCCCGTCTGGGGGCACACCCTCGAGACCCCCCCCCCCATCTAAATAAAACTTTTAGAGCTAAAACAGCATATTTTCCATTTCTTCTCTTGGGAGCTGGCAGCGCCCCTAAAACTGACTGTGCTCGCTTGGCTTGCCCCACCTTGCCCCCCAAGAAATGCTGAAATGACGCCCTTGCCTCCAGCGACCCTCGGAAAACCCTCGCGCCCGTGGGGTTGGGAACCACTGGCATAATGCATGTGTTCATTGTACATATATCT